ATCAGCCACTGGATGAGGGCTCTAGGATGGCATAAAGAGTAGTCATCAATCTCATTTTAGGGGAAGGGCTTTTAGGTTATCCTCTCCACTATTGCCTGGATTGTCAGATCGTGTCATCCTTGTAGGTCTCTGGAGATCTCCCTAGTTCCAGAACTCTTCTTGGACCTATAGTGGCTCCCTCTAATATGGTATCTCTCATCCTGCTCTCTCCTCTATTCTTCCCCCTACTCAATATCTCTGCTCCTCCATTTCCTCTCCTCTACTCCTCTTCTCGTGCTTTTATTGTGGCAGCACCCTCTCCCCACCCTCATGCTCCCAATTAGCTCAGGAGTTCATGCCACTTCCCATTCCTGGGGTCTATTTATCCCTTAGAGTCCTTCATGTTTCCTAATTTCTTTGGTGAAGAGGATTATGGGCTGGTAATCCTTTGCTCTATGTCTAAAATTCATATATGAGTGAGTACATACCATGTTTGTCTTTTTGTGACTGGGTTACCTCACTCAGGATGGTTTCTTCTAGGTTTCTACTTCTTAATAGTCAAGTCAGCTATGAGTTAGTCAGGAGATTAACCTGTTGGTGAAGTTAACAGCCTATGATCCAATTACTTCTCAATAGGGTGGGCTGGTAAGAGCCAAGCTTTGAGCACATGATTTTTTGGGGAGGGGGCACTTGTAGCTAAAGAAACTTACCCATTGGGCTGGTCTGCCATGTGTGTGATTCATGGAACCCAGAGGTCTAGAGAGAATGTAGGTCAGAGAGAAAGTCACCATTGGCTCTTGGTGACAGTCACTCTCTGGTGGAGGTTCTTTCCATCTTCTCAGTCACCTCATTTGTCACCATAACCCTGGAGGTGTTTTGGTCTGAGTCCCTAGGGGCTTCCAGAGGAACAGCTGTGGCTGTCCAGAGATGGACTGAAGCATTCTGAGGCTGAGGTCTACTCAGCTGCCTTTGCTGGGCATGAGCTCAGGTTTTCTCACCTCTGTGACCTCCTGTGTGGGACTGGGAAGTGATGTTAGCATAGGAAAGTGGGAGGGAAGGAGAGGGAGAGCAGGAGGGAAGGGAGTAGGGAGGGAGCCCAGCTCTCAAGTATATATACTTGGTAAGAACTATTTCAGCTGAGGCCCAGGGACAAGGGAGCGCCTTACTTTCTCACTGTCGAGGGTCCCTGTGTGCAGGGCTGGCCGAGTGTGGATCCCTGGAAGCCCCTGCCTTCCTGGCAGCCTCTCGCTGCTTGTCACCTTGTGATATGGGGTCTGTGTTGCTAAGCCTGCCTTTCCATAGAGTTCTCACGGGAACACCATGAAGCAGTTCATGGACATCTTCTCACTGCCTGAGATGACCCTGCTGTCCTGTGTGAATGAGCACTTCCTGAAGAACAACATCGACTATGAACCCGTGCACTTGTACAAAGATGTCAAGGTGAGGGCAGAGGGCAGGGCCAGTTCAGGGCTGTGGCTCTGTGCCTTCCCAGAGGAGGCCAGCTGTGTCTGGGTAGAGGGTTCAAGTAGTCCTTCTCTGGGGTCACTGGTCTCTGAGTGACCATGGAAGTCATAAAAGGATGCTGCCGTCTCAGAGGAATCAGGGCAGCATGATCTATCACAGATGGTGCCCTCTGTCACCTGGACTTGTAATCCCTTGACAGTCCAGCATACCATCTCACCCTGAGCCTGCCCACAGGAGGACATCTCCCTCTTCACACAGGAGAGGCCACTGCCCATGCCCATGCTTCCAGCCATGAGGCCGCCATCACCCAGAGGGAGCCCTTTTTTAATACTTACTTTTCAAATCGCAAATCATCACTGCACACCTTTATGCCTGTAATGTAGTGTGTTTATCTCATGAAAACATCCCATCCTAGTGGGAATTTTTTTCCTGTGGATTATTATAAAAATGGTTTCTTCCTAAGCTGTACTGTCTAATTGATAATAATGTTAGTTTAAATAGAGTATTGATGGATATATATATATATATATATATATATATATATATATATATCTGTCACTTTTCTCAAAAATAAGAAAGTATGTCCATATATTATTTGGTAGATAATAATAGAGTACTGTTGTATTTTTAGAATATAATCTAGTTTTCTTTAATATGTTTATTTTTTATTGTATTTTAGTTTCATGAACATTTAGCACTTGCCCATCAAGATTATTAGGGTTCTAAATAACATAACATATGTAAAGCAGCACAATAACTTGCACATAATAATGTTTCAAACAATGTTAATTTTGTGGAAATGTGATTATTAAAAATATATACATGTGTGCTTATGTGTAGTGTTTCAAAACAATAATTTCATTTCATCTCATTTATCTATTATGTGTTCTTATAGCCACAATTTTTTTTTAAAGACATGGTCTCTTTCTCTCCCTATGTAATCCTGGCTGTCCTGGTACTTGTTACGTAGATCAGACTGGCTTTGAACTCACAGAGACCTGCTTAGTTTCTGCCAGAATCAAAGGCGTACATCACCATACCTAGCTTTAATACACACACACACACACACACACACACACACACACACACACACACACACACACACACACACGTGTATATATATGCAAATGTATATAGATGTATGTGTGTGTGTGGGTGTTTTGTATGCATGTATGTCTGTGCATGGTGTGTGTCTGGTACGCTAGTCTGTTGTGAATCACAACATGGGTGTTAGGAATTAAACCCAGGCCCTCTGGGAGGGCAACCAGTGGTCTTAACCCAATAAGCTGTCTGTCTAGTTCCCACTCCAACATAAATTTTTGATTGTCTTGATTTCTGGGTTTTAAAGTTGAAGGATGCATTGTAGTTTCTCAGCATTACTTTGATAAGAATTGGGCTAAGTTTACATATTTATTTTTAATTCTTCTGTTGTGCATGCAGACATGCTATATTTAGGAATCATTTGTGATAGAGGAGAACTGTTTGTTGAAGGTTGGGTTTTTGCTACAGCAAGCACTTATGTAGAGGCTCTGTTTTGGGGGTTTTATATTAGTTCATTAAATCTTCAAATTGATGCCTGGAGGTAAGTACTACTATTATCATCACTCCCAATTTAAAGACACTGAGGCACAGAGAGTTTGAGTGTCTTGCCCAAGGTCACACAGTAGTAAGTAGTAGAGCCTAGATTTTTAATCCAGGCAGTTTAGCTTGCATTTAACCTTTTCCTTCTGTGTTGTGTAAAATCAGAACAGGCATATGCTGGAGGTAATTGAGATTAAGATTGTAGCTCAGAGTGGCCCACTCTGACAGAAGTCCACCAACAGTATACACCCCTGCTCCTGGTACCAGAAAGTTTCCATGACCCCCCAGGAGTCTACAAAGGGCCTGCTACATAGTCCCCCACTCCACAAGGGGAACTCTGCAGTGACACCTAGCAAGGTCATGCTGGCACAGCCCTGAGCCTACAATGGACTCTCTGTCTTCTTCTTTCCTGCATCTGCCAGTTGGACCTGTTGCTGCCTAGTGACAGAGACTTGGGCAGTTTCTTGCTCTATTGGTAGCATCCGGAGAGGTGGTGTCTTTCTTGTCCCTCTGCCTTTGTCTCTTGTCCCTCTGCCTCGGTCTTGCCTTACAGAACTGTTTGCCTCCAAAGATAGGAAGGAAGGACACAAAGATGTTGGCAGGGACCCCTTCCTGCAGGTTGTCTGCCATCTACTTGTTCACCAACCTGCACGTAAACTACTGTTTGTCACATGGGACTTCATTCAGAATTACACCAATGACCTTTTGAAATGAGGCTTTTGGAAATTGCATTGACAACAGCCTCTGTCACCATGGAATCACAAGCTTTTCCTAAAGTGCCACCTGGGCTCAATGGGCTAGTGTCGAGATGTGTAGAGCTTGGGCCAGCAGGCTCCTAAGAGAGAAGTGAGCTTTTTCACTGGGGCTGACTCTGGCCTCCTTTTCACTGATGACGAATCTACCTTTTGACAGGACTCCATAAGGGATGTCCACATCAAAGGAATAATGTACCGAGCAATTGAAGCCGACATTGGTATGTATTCAGCAGCATTTGCCGAACTGCTGTGTGGGCATTTAAACACCACACCCCAGGGGCTGAGCGGGGACCACAGGTGTCGCCTGGGTATTGTTTAACGACCCAGACCCTGGCAGTGAAGATGTCTCCTCTCTGCTCTAGAACAACTTAGTGTCTGTCAGCCTAATTCTGAGAGGTAATGGCAGCTGCACACACTACCCTCCATTTCAATGGTGGCGGCAGGGTCTGTTTCCCGTACACTGGGCACTCACTACTTCCCTGAAACAACCTCTCTTGAGTCTTGAGTTTCCACACTGTGCCTAGGACACTGCATACCTAGGTGCCCACCCACAAATGTCCATGGAATGCCTGATTTCATCCTGACCCTGTGAACTTTTCCCTCATTCTTAGAGAAGTACATCTGTTATGCTGAGCAGACCCGGGCGGTGCTGGCTAAGCTGGCTGCCCATGGCAAGAAGATGTTCCTCATCACCAACAGCCCCAGCAGCTTTGTGTAAGTTCCGAGCCCTCACAAGCAGCTGGCTCATGGCTCAAATGCCATTCATCTTAGCTGCTGGAAAGAAATAGTTTGCAAGAAATTAAAAAAAAACGTTCATCCCTTTGCTGTCAGTTTACACTGTCTGCCTTATTCCAGAGACAAAGGCATGCGGTATATCGTGGGGAAGGACTGGCGGGACCTGTTTGATGTGGTCATAGTTCAGGCCGAGAAACCGAACTTCTTCAATGATAAGCGGAGGTGAGGCTGGTCTGCTGGGGACAGGGTTCTTAGATTCCTGTGAAAGCTGTGCCTCCCTTCACCCAGGCTTTTCTGACATGTTTGTCCACAGTGGAGGGGTGAGGGCCCCAACTCTTCCTAGGAGGGACTCTCAGCATAGCATCCTTTCCCCCTTATTCTGAATGTCTGCAACAGTAGCTGAGATGTTCCCATTCCTTCTGTTATTTATAAAAGTCCAACAGTTGAGCATGACTCGGTAATTCAGAATAGCCATGTGAGGAAATGCTAAGCAGCCCTTAAAGATGACGAATTTGGCGAGTAAAAGCAGCCAGCACATCTCTCTGCTAATGTGTTTAAGGATATGACATCACACGAGAGATTGCTGACAAGATTAAAAGAAAAGAGATATAAATAAAAGTGTACAAAGATCTTCATGTTCCTTAGAAAAGGGAAAGTGGGTTTTGATACCTACAGGGAGCTTCTATTTTTGTGACTGGAGTAGCAATTACCCAAAAAAACAATTACCCAAGGGGGTGATGGATGGGGCCAGCCCTACTTCCAGTCCCACCATAGCTAGTGCCCCTGCCCTCCACCTGGCATCTGACTCAGGGTGGCAGCAGTGTTTCTGCAGGCTTCCCTTGTCAAGTAGATGCTCTCACTACTGCCAAGTGTCCTAGGGAAACCTGCCAAGGGTGGTTGACCCTAGAATTCTTTTTTAAAATTTTCCCTATTCTTCATTACCTGCTTTATGGGTGGTAGCTCTGTGGTGGGGTCTGCATAGTATGTAATTGGAGCCAGGGGGTGCAGTGAGTTTTGGGGTGCAAGAACTACTTCATGTTCTCAGTGAGTCCTTGTTTAGTATTTTGTGGAATGGGCAGTCTTTACTATTATCATGCCTTTCAGTAATGTTTCCCTTTCTGTTGTTAGACCTTTCCGGAAGGTGAATGAGAAAGGTGTCTTGCTCTGGGATAAAATCCACAAGCTCCAGAAAGGGCAGATCTACAAGCAGGTATCTGTGCCTTCCCCAGTTCCTTTCTGCTGCCTTGCTTTATAGTCAGCACTCACAGGGCTGCCAGTACCAAGACTGTCCAGGCGCGTGGCGTAGTCAACCCCTTGACTGACTGCTTATAATTAGATGGTAAAACTTAGGCCAATGTCAGTGTAGTTTCAGTATGCTCAAGGTTGACTGTTTGTAACAGCATTTTCCTCTGTAAAATGTAAAGTGTCAGTCATGAACCCTGGAGATTTCTCTCTGAGGAGGATCGATCTTGGTCTGTTACTCATCCAACGTATTTCCTGCTGAGAGACAGTCCTTAGGCAGTTTTAAACACTTTGGCATCTTCATATAAGGCTGTTAGGAGCCTGGACTACGCTGACTGTTTTTATGTCACTGGAGTTGTTTTCTTTACGGAACATTCTTTGGTGGGTTTGTAATAACCTGATAGATTTAACATTGAGTGTATTCTCTAGGCCTTGAAACATTAGTTTTAATTCAGGCATTTTACTTCTAAAAACTTAAGAAGATTTAGATGTGACTCATAAAACTCCCTGTAAGGGTGTTTACAGAGTGAAGATGCTGTGACTGCCTACCATCAGAGCTTAGGCAGAAGGAATCATTTATAGTAATCACAATAAAATTAAAAATCACTTATATGGAGTGATGGTCTCAGCAAAGGGGCTTATATAATCTGAAATGTTGTTTTTGAGACAGTCCCACTGTGTAGTCCTGGCTAGCCTGGAATATGTTGACCAGGCCCTTCTTGAACTCACAGGGATTCTCCCAACTCAGCCTCCTGAGTGCTGGGATTAAAGTTGTGCAATCATCCCTGACTGTGAAAAATTTTCAGAGTACGTTTGGCATCAAAGAATGGTCTAAAAGATTTTCCATGAGTGTGCTTTTAGCTTTATATACTGATATAGACAACAAATCATAAGAGTTAAACACATTTTTTGTAAGTTTTAAAGCATAGGCATTGTAGACTATGGGCTACTAGGTTTCTGTCATGTAATGATCTACATTTCCTCTTTTATTGCAGGGCAATTTGTATGAATTTTTGAAGCTCACTGGATGGAGAGGATCCAAAGTGCTGTATTTTGGTGACCACATATACAGTGATCTGGCGGTGAGGAGCCATCTTTCCTCAGTGGGGACTGCCATGTTCTTCCACCTAGTAGGGGATTCTCTTTCCTGTGACATCATCTTTATGCTTTCCTTAGAAGCTCGGGTGGGGGGGGCACGGTTTTCAATGTCTCACTTTTACAAAACAGGAAAGATCAGAGTTGTGAAAAGATAGATTTTATTTTTCTCTTTGAAATGATGGCAATTAGAAATGAACTCAAAAATTTAATAAGAAAACTCCTCTATTTCAAGCACTATAAGCACTAAATGCCAGGAACCTTTCGTTCCCTTTTATCATCATGTCAAAAAGCTTCAAAATGGCACACGAATGCTCATAGCTAGCTGGGCTCCTTTCTAGTCAGTCACTTCTGAGGCATAGAAGCTGGTGTTGCCAGGGGTCAGAGGAGGCATCAGATAGCCCTTGGGATGGTCATTTTTTAAAACAAAACTGATGCCTCGGTCTGTCATGAACTCAAGGAGTTGTGATATGTGGAATAAAAACTCATTCAAGTGTGCTTGCATTATCTGACCACTTCAGGCTTGAGGTTATATGGTTACCTATAACCCAAGAGGGCCTGGTGCATGGCAGATGTCCTCCAGAGGTCTGGGAAGTGCTGCAGTATTGAATAAAGGACATTCCCCTCAAGTGCCCAGGCGGGGATTGAACCCAGAGCCTTGTGCATGCTGGGCAAGTGCTCTGCCACCGCTCTGCATTCCCAGTCCTTGTGTTTTGGAGACTGCATCTCATGGTGTAGCTCAAGCTGTTCTGAAAATCTTGGCCTAGTGCTGGACGGTGGGGTGCTTCTTAGCACCAGGGGTACCTCACTCAGCTTGAATGAGGACCATTTAGAGCATTTGGGTTGGGCCTTTCCCTGTGTCTGACCTCACAGACCATGTTAGAGGTTCCATAACCACCAGCATCCCAACTTGCCCCCCAATCTCTGAAGTGGCTGTGATTCTTAGCCATTATTTCCAGAACAGAAACTTTCTCTGGGTGAAGTGGTCAAAGCCTGGGGCCAAATTGGTTTTAATTAAGTGTAATTCATCCCATTCAATTTGGTTAATAACTAACCATTACAATTAAAGAGTGACTGAGTGAATACCTACCTCGCTTGTCTGGGAGGGGTAACAAACACACTGTTGGTTCTGAGGGGACTGATGTTGGCATTCTGTGGCTTTGTGATCAGGATCTGACACTGAAGCATGGCTGGCGCACTGGAGCGATCATCCCTGAGCTACGGTCGGAGCTCAGAATTATGAACACGGAACAGTACATTCAGACCATGACCTGGCTTCAAACCTTGACCGGGCTTTTGGAGCAGATGCAGGTTGGGGTGTTGCTTTTGTTTTTGTGTTTTTTTTTCTCTCTCTTGTTTTAAGCCTAAAGATAATCACTGATGAAAATGATGTTCTGGCTGGGTGGTGGTGGTGCACCCCTTTAATCCCAGCACTCGGGAGGCAGAGGCAGGCAGATCTCTGTGAGTTCAAGCCCAACCTGGTTTACAAAGCTACACAGAAAACCCAAGAAAAAAAAATTGTGTGTTGAAAATGATGTCCTGTATTTCTGTGTAATTATAAAGTATAAGGTTTAAGTTATCCTCAGCAGACTATAGAGTTGCTAGTGGTTATCTTGTCCTTTCCCCTTGATGGGACCTTTACAAATGTCCCCAGAACCATTTGCAGGGTCTTAAAGGTAGGTGCTATTTTTGTTCCTTTGTTGGTGAAAATCTGCCCAGTAGTCCCCACTCGGTTGCCCTGGGCCACCCTCCTTGCCTTTAGAGTACCACGGGACTTCCCTGCACGGGCCTCAGTTCCCCCATCTGTAAAATGAAGAGTCTTTTGGAATGAACACACCAGTCTAGCCACCAAAGAGTCACAAAGCAAGTTGGGACCCTGGATCAGCCTCTGTTGGCACTGTGATTAGCTGGTTTTCCGAGTTCAGTGGCAAGTCATGCAGCCAGTTTGGGGCAGTTAAGACAGGATGCCTTTGTTACGCTCATTTCCTAGTCTAAGCTGTTGCCTCTCTGTTGTGCCTGTGACACTTTTCAGGGCTCTTCCCACCCCATCTCATGAGCCACCTGTATTCTCCATTTGTGCAGCTCATCTGGCCATGCTGTGTGAGTGAGTAAAGATGATTCTAGGTTAAGTGACACAGACGGCCACTCTTGGCCGGCACTCCTGCAGCCTCTGGTCATGGCCTGCTGCCCACAGATTATGCTGCCAAGCTTTGAGGAGAGGCAGGGCAGGCCATGTCCTCTCTCCCAGGGTGCACATTCCGGTACATGGGGCCCCGCACGTCCTCCAGGCCTGGGTTCTGGTAGGCTCTTGAAAACTTGGCTCTTGACTCTTCTGGTCGGGGTTTGTTTTGCTTTCTTTACTGTGTGTTCTCTGAGGTGGTTTTCTAAAAATATTGGATGTCAAGTCTGGACTAATGCTGCTGAGGCTGCACCTGTGTCACATGGTGCTAGCTCTTCCGTGTGTGCCTGCCATTGTGCCAGAGGCTTGCGTGGTGTACATCATTCCGTCACAGCTGCCCCGTGTGTGGAGGTGCAACCTTTTCACTTCAGAATAAGGAAGCTGGGCTTTGAGAGGTTAGTGACATGTCTGCGGTCATAAACCGATACAGTGGGGCTCAGCTTCAGGCCTTGTGATGCCGAGTCTGGGCTCCAGCACCACCTTGGAGTGCTTGCTGCCTTAGTGGTTGTCAGGTGGGGCTAACACTCTGTGATAGTCTTTGTGTGCTCTCTTTCTGTGTTTTTATTTTAGTTGTCTATGGTTAAGTGGTTAAAAAATATGAAATAGAATAAACAATTCATAAGTTTTAAATAATGTTTATAGTAGGTTGTTAAAGCTATTGTTTTTGTTGTTTTCGAGACAGGGTTTCTCTGTATAGCTTTGGAGCCTGTTCTGGCACTTACTCTGTAGACCAGACTGGCCTCGAACTCACCCAGATCCGCCTGCCTCTGCCTCCAGAGTACTGGGATCAAAGGCGTGTGCCAACCCCCTCTCCCCCCAGCTAAAGGTATTGTTTTATCAATAGTTATTAATCCCTTATTTTGTGCCTAATTTACAAACTGATCTTTGTTATAGGTATGCACACATAGGAAAGACATATAAATGTATGGTTTGATAGTGCCCACGGTTTTAGGAGGTTTGAGGACAACCATCTCACTGAGGATAAAGGAGATGGCTCCTGCCTGACTTGTATTCCTTCTGTGACTGTGCATCTGGTCAGATGCACAGGTGACCTGCATGTAATGACAGTGTGACTGCATTACAGTTGGCTCTGGAAGCAGGTTTTGTTCTTTATTTTTCCTCTGACCTATGGAAAATAATTGATAGCTCAGAGAATGGTAGCATTAAAATATTTCTGTGACATATGGGATGAGTCACACAGGACATAGATGGGGGAAGTAAGAAAAGGGGTTGATGTGTATATATCCACTGTTAGGGGATTTTCCCACCCAGTTCTGCACCCGCCTCAAAGACCCAAATAAATACTTGGACACTATATTAGTTATGAATACTGTTGGCCGGTGACTAGGGCTTCTTATTGGCTAGCTCTGTCTTAATTATTAATCCGTAACTACTAATCTGTGTATATCTACATGGTCTTCTCTGACCCGAGAAGGAGTCTGGACCTGTTACTTCTCTGGTGTCCTAAGTCTTGATTGGCTCTGCCTATGTCTCCCAGAATCATCCTCATCTCCTAGTGCCACCTATCTTGCTTCCCTATTGGCCAACAGTGCTTTATTCATCAACCAGTAAGACAAACATATATAGAAGGCATCCCCATCAATCCACCCTGATTAATAGGAGAGGAAACTGAGGCCCAGAGCTAAGGTAACTTTTCCAATTAGAGTAGTATGCAGCATGAAGCTGGGTAGAAGTGAGGTCTGACTGTTTTAATGTTAGGACCTCGTGCTCATTTCCTCCTCTCCAAACTCTGGGATCAACCTGAGAGTACAGCCTGAATGTCCCATGAGAAATCCCTGGTGCTGGCCTTACACTGGGCATCTGTCCTGCTCTTTGGTCTTTACCTCCTGCTGCATCTCTTCAGATTCTGATGCATTAAAGAACTCTGTTGGGTGTGGGTACCACATATCAAGGGGTGGGACTAATCAGTTAACTCATGCAGGTGATTGTCTTTCCTCAATGCCCTACAGGGACCACTTCTTCCCAGTCTGGGAAGTTCCATGCATTTTTGTTGATCTGATGACTCCTGCTTCTAGAACTTTCCTGTGGTGGCTAATTGCAGAATATGTAGATCATTATTAGGAAAATGTGTGCTGTGAGGTTAGGTTTAATTTGGGGAAAAGCTGCGGAGTGTCATTTGGAGTTAAGTCTGATGAATTAAACAGAAGAGTATAATTTCTGGTTTTAAAAGATAGAATATAAAGAGAAATTTCCTTGGTTGAAGGACAATTAAAATGGTCATGACTTAGCGGTGAGAACTGGTGCCTGTAGACCTTTACAGGGGTCATTCAGGTGACATGTGGATTTGTAGGGTGTGTGGGCTGTGTTCTATGTTCTAGGCACTCAGTTTTTCTCGGTGCAGGCATGGACAGTGTGAGCCAACTGCTGTGGCTGTCCCAGTAAGCCATGGATGCTGGAATACAGCTTTCATTTCATGTTCATGTGTGAGGACATGGTTCTTTTTCGCCAATTTTACAAAGAGCAGCTGTTTGTTGGCTCACAAGCAGACAGTACTGCCTGGATCTGGCTTCCGGTGTTGGCCACTAGGCTGGCCTGTCTGTTCAGGCAAAGGGGGTGGGAGAGTGATACATTAGCTAACCCTTGTTTTGCCCACAAAGAGCTGATGGTATTGAGTGACAGCTATGGGGACAAAGATGACTGGTAGCTTGGGTGTTTCTAGTTAATTTTCCCATGCTAACTGCTCACTCTGGAGAAAGTGAAGTAAGTAATAATAACAAGTAACTATTTAATAATTTAATAAATAATGAAATAATAAGTATTATTGTGACTAATAATTACAAAATATTTCAAAGCAGACTTCAGATACTTGAGGCTTGTTTGACAGAGTGTGCCATGTAGAGGACAGAGCTGGAGAAGGGATAGCACAAAAGAGGTAGGTTTTCTCAAATCGGGGGACAAGCAGGATTAGATGCTGATGGCATGGGTACAGGTGAGGAGATTGCTAATGCCTAAGTGATGGAGAAAGTCTTGGGAGGGTAGCCACAGCCAGGCCCAAGAGGCTGTATCAGGACACAGGGCTGCCAGCTTGGCATCCCTGCTCTGGGCATACTGCCTTGTCTTTCTTTATATTTCCCTTCAGCAGCCTGTGGCCAAAGGCTGCTGGAGACCCTCATCCTCCTTGGATGCCCTCTAGGCTCAGGACCAGGGCTGGTGAGATGCTTTGCTGGATAAAGGTGCTGACTACCAAGTGTGATGTCATGAGTTCAGTTCTGGGAGCCCAGAAGAGAACCTAGTCCTGCAAGCTGTCCCTGACCTCTTACCTACACATGCTGAGACATATGCACCCTCTTTCCAAGTAAAGAAAGTATTAAAAAAAAAAAACCTTAGAAAGAAAATTAGGACCAGCTGAAAAGTGGAGACAGGTGTCAAGGTGAGTGCATGTGCCATCCACTCCCTCCCTGGCAACCCTGGTCTGAAGAATGACCTCTGAACTTGGATATTCTAGCTGGCTCTTTCCATCTACACAGCCTGCACTGGGGTCCATCTGAGGGCTAGGAGTGGAGAGGAGAATTTGCCTGACTTCTAGCAATTGCTTTGACAAGAGATAAAGTAGAGTAGGTTTGGTGACCCCTCCTGAGATTCTTCCCTTTTGTAAGTGTGGCCCTGTTCCGTTCACTCTGAGCTGCTCTAAGTGTGCCATTGACCAACACTTGTTTCTTGCAGTTCTGGAGGCAGGGAAGTCTAAGATCCAGGTGTCAGCAGTCACTGTTGGTACAATCTGGGTTGACCTGGCAGCCTCATGTGGGAGAGAGGTTAGAGAATTCTGTGATCTCTCCTATCAGGACACTGATCTCATTAAAAACTGTGGTGTTACATTGTTTTGGTATGGCCTGTTCCCACAGTGGCTGCTATCTTTTTTCCTCTTGTTGTACCACATGTCCCCTGTAGCCATGACTGCCCTGACTCTGGCTTCACTGTTGCTATTTAGCAGTGAGAACCTTGGTGAGGTCCCACATACTGGCTTGTGGGGAGTTGTCTGTCACTTCTTTTTGCCATTTGCTCACATTTGACCCAACAGGAAGTCCCTCACATTTCCTTTTCATCAAAGCTAATGTAACATCAGGGATATGAACATTAAGGACATCTGAGTCCTGTTGTCTTGTAAGTTAAACACGTCAGTGCTGATTTCTAGATGTTGTGGGCTTAGAACCTGTGGATGTACTGCCACACACACCATGCACACTTCTCAGCCATTGTGTTGCTACTCGGGGAGGAGGGGCAGTAGGTATCATGGAATGCATGTTTATCACGTGAGACATGGGTATAATGGGCATGGCACACATGTCATATGTGGGTGTATATGTTTGTGTTTATAAATGACCTTTAGTAACATAATTTTACATCTTAATTTGTTAAGCTACATTCTTCTTAGATTTTATTTATTTATTTGTGTGTGTGTATGTGTGTACATTTGTGTAAGATCAGAGGACATTTTACATGACATGGTTCTCTTTCCACCAAGGATAGAACCAGATCACCGAACTTGGTGGCAGGTTCCTTTATTTGTTGAGTCATCTCCAGCCCAAGCTAGGCTTCTAATAAGGAACAACTGAAGCTTCTCTGTGTATGTGTGTCAAGAAGCCAGGGTTTCGCCAGAGGCTAGGAAACAAGGAGTACCCTAAGAGAGACATGCATGGCACCCAGGAGAAGGGGAAAGGGACAAGATCTCTTGACAGATTGGGAACATGGCAGGGGAGGGAAGAGGGAGCTTGGAGAAAGAGAGGGAGAGAAGAGGAGGGGAGAGGAGGACATGGGGGAGCAGGAAGGTTGAGTTGGGGGAAGAATAGAAGAGAACAAGATAAGAGATATAATAGAGGGAACCATTATGGATTTGAGGAGAGATCTGGCACTAGGGAGATTTCCAGAGATCTACAAGGATGACACCAACTAGCAACCTAAGCAATAGTGGAGAGGCTACCTTATATGCCATCCTAGAGCCTTCATCCAGTGGCTGATGGAAGCAGAGGCAGACACCCACAGCTAAACACTGAGCTGAACTCCTGGAATTTAGTTGCAGAGAGGGAGGAGTGATGAGCAAAGGGGTCAAGACCAGGCTGGAGAAACCCACAGAACTAGCTGACCTGAACAAGAGGGAGCTCATGGACCCCAGACTGATGGATGGGAGGCCAGCATGGGACTGATCCAGACCCCCTGAATGTGGGTTTCAGTGAGGAGGCCTCGACAATCTATGGGGCCTCTGGTAGTAGATCAGTACTTATCCCTGGTGTATGAGTGGACTTTGGGAGCCCATTCCACATGGAGGGATGCTCTCCCAGCCTGGACACATGGGGGAGGGCCTAGGCCCTGCCCAGGATAATATGACAGACTTTGGGGATCCCCCATGCAGGGCCTCACCCTCCCTGGGGAGTGGAGGGGGATGGAGTGGGGGACTGACTGGTGAAGGGTGGGGGAGGAGGGAGAGGGAGAGGGAGCTGGGATTGACATGTGAAGCAGGATTGTTTCTAATTTAAATAAAATTTAAAAAAAAAGCCAGGGTTTCACTTGGGAAAATGTATTACTTCACACAAGTGTCTGCTTATTAGACTTAAGGACTAAGAGTTCTTCAGGAAAAGTTGCCCAGTAAGAAATTTTTACTGCTAATGAGTTTGTTTGAAATCAAAGCCCTGGAAACTGTTGGCTTATGTCCCGACAGGTCCACAGAGATGCTGAGTCACAGCTGGTTTTGCAGGAGTGGAAAAAGGAGAGGAAGGAGATGAGGTAAGAGCATCATAGTCACCATGTATGAATGCCTACCCTACGTTTGGTGTGTGCTGTGCATCTCAGGTGACATCTGGAAACATCCTCTTCCAGCTCTCAGTGTGACTGTGACTCCTGAGTGTATTCAGGCATTTCTTCGTTTCTTCCCAGCCAGGTGTGCTCTCCGACAGTCCTCCATCCCTGCCATTGAAAGCCTTGCAGGGTTTGGGGGGTGGCTTTTCTTCCTCCTCCTCCCTGCCTTGACTGGAGCCCGATGTTGGTAGCTGGCAACACATGGCTGTTAGCACTGTTCTGCGGTGGGCTCTGAACACAGGACTCCTCTGCCCACTGTCTTAGGGATGTGCACCCAGCTTTTCTTGGTCCAGAAAGAGTGTGTCCTTGCGGAGCAGTTGTCATAGGAGCCTTGGTGACAACCGTGCTTCCCTGTGATGGATTCTTTCACACTCTCTGCAGACTGCATGTGGTTGTTCCTCTGTCCTGGCATAGCCTGGGATTGGGAACGGGTTGTTTCTTGAGCTCTGGTCCCTGAGCAAGGCAGCCTGACTTGACAAGGGATGTTGAAGGTTCTGTGGAAGCCAAGCCTGGCTTGAGTCCCATTCTGCCTCTTCCTCAGCTGTTGGCTGGCTCAGACGTATTCTGACTTGATTCTTTTGCTGTGAAGATGTGGAGTAGAGAAAAGTGGGAAAAGGAAATGATGGGATTGGGCCCCTGTCTCTGAAGGCCTGAGGTCCACAGTGTGTGGGTTAATCACTCTCAGGAACCTAAAATGGCACTTCACCTGCCAGAGACTTCACTTCTCCAACAGCTACACATCTTTTTCTTTTGTTTTCCTTTTATATTATTATTTTTATTTAGATTTTTTTTAATGTGTAGGAGTGTTTTGCTTACATATATATCTGTGCACTTCATGTATGCCTTGTGCCCAAGGGGGTCAGAAGGGGACATCACATCCCCTGGAACTAGAGTTAAGGACAGTTGTGAGCTGCCATGTGGGTGTTGGGAGTCCTCTGTAAAAACAAAAAGTGGCCGGGCGTTGGTGGTGCACGCCTTTAATCCCAGCACTCGGGAGGCAGAGGCAGGTGGATCTCTGTGAGTTCGAGACCAGCCTGGTCTATAAGAACTAGTACCAGGACAGCCTCCAAAGCCACAGAGAAACCCTGTCTCGAAAAATCAAAAAAAAAAAAAAAAGTGTTCTTAACCACTGAGCCATCTATCCAGCCCCCACCTTCTGTCATCTCCATGAGATACTGCAGTAAAAGTTTAAATACCATTTATGTTGTTCATCTGTAGAAACCTAGTTGGTTTTTTTGTTTGTTTGTTTTATTTTTTGAGACAGGGTTTCTTTGTGTAGTTTTGTAGACTAGGCTGGTTTTGAACTCATAGAGATCCACCTGCTTTTGCCTCCCAAATGTTGGGATTAAAGGTATGCATCAGTACCACCTGGCTCCCTAATTGGAGTTTTAACAGCTGTGGCCATTTGGTCATTGCTTGTGTCATTCTCCAGTGACAACAGGCAACTGCTAATTACGGAGTGATTTTTATGCACAGTTGTGCAAGAGTTAGACTTTTGCTGTATTTGTAACTGATTTAACACCATTCAAATGACATTAATCCGTTTTGCTGGAATATTCTATTTGTAGGGGATGTTAACAGAGATGAGACTGCACAGAGGTCTACCTTAGCCTGGGTGACTGAAGATGTGGGCTAGGCTGGGAGGGAGTATGTAGAACATTTGAAGGCCTGTCATGGAAGGTGGTGACTAAAATAATAATCTGTAATTCTTCTATGAGAAGACTGGAGGGTTTGCAGTATTTTATGTCTCTACCTTGCTTAGTTCTTGGTCTAGAAACATGGAGAATTATTTGTTTCAGTATCTCCAAAACACCTCTGCCTGCTTTGACTGGCACACAGTGTATGTGTTTGGAGGAGCATGGGATTCACAAGGGAGCCTTGAAGTAGTGTTTTAACTGGGCTAGTGGGGAATGTGACCAGCTGTTTGAGACATGGCCTGACAGATGTGTTTTGTCAGGTTTCTTTGTTTTGTAAGACAGGGTCTTACTGTGTAGCCCAGGCTGGCTTCCTGATCTTCAGGCCTCAGCCCCCTGGTGCTGAGGTTACAGGCGTGGGCCCCATGCCTACCTCACACAGTTTTTCTTGGTTGGTAATTAGGTCTGCTCTTGGCTAAATCGCTACTTTTTCTTTCCATTAGCTTTTTGTTTTAAAGATATTATTATTTCAGTAGTTGAAAAACAAAACAAAACAAAACATTAAAAAAAAAAAACCTTTATCTGTTGTTTTGTTTTTATTCCTTGACACTTCAGAGAAATGACCAAAAGTTTCTTCAACGCCCAGTTCGGGAGCTTGTTCCGTACAGACCAGAACCCAACCTACTTCCTGAGGCGCCTGTCCAGGTTTGCCGACATCTACATGGCGTCCCTGAGCTGTCTCCTGAACTACGATGTTCACCACACCTTCTACCCCAGGAGGACTCCCCTGCAGCATGAGCTCCCTGCATGGTCGGACAGCCCCTCTGCCTTCAAAGCCCCACTGCTGCAGGAGGCTCAGGCCAAGTAATCCTGTGTCTGCCTGAGGAAAAAGCCAGAAGCAGCCATGGTCTCACAAAGGGTCCAGTGGGCCTGACAGCTGCTTTCCCAAAGAGTCAGATAACACCTTTGTATTTTTTCTACCTTACCACGAATACTGTCCTGTTCAGGCAGAGACAGGAGCTGACTGCCTGGGTTCTGCCCTCCTCCACACAGTGATGCGGCCTTGTTTACTATGGAACCAACATCAGGCCTTCTGAGACTAGTGAGGCCTCTTGATGCTGTCTGTTCAGCAGGTCAAGAGATGACACATCTTGATTCTGTGAGACATTTTTTGGTTGTTTACAAGCGGAGCACTGGGGACTGTAAGGGCATGGTGACACCTGCAGCCGGTTAGTTCCCAGTCTGCTGGTGTGAGGTTTTTGCAGACTTTTACACACATTGCTCCAAGAGACCAGAGCTCCCAGAATGACTTTGTTGAGGAAGAACAAGAAGCGTTTGTCCTCAGTGTGAACTTGCTTTGCCTGCCCCGGGCTGGTGAAGGGGTGATGGGCGGGTTCCCTCCTCCTCCTTCCTTTCCCCACTGGGAGTGGGTGAGGAGTTGGCAGCTCTAGTTAAAATTGCCTTTCAGCTGGGGGGGTGGTTGGGCATTGTAGAGTCAAGAAGCAAAGCTGTGGGGCTCAGTCTGCAGTCAGCGCAAGTCTGTACTTGGGACACAACAGCTCACTGGTGAAATTTCACATTTCAGGCTGAGAGCCAAGCTCACAAGAGGGGCATCTCTTCCTCCCTCCCTCTGGGGGAGGAATCCTTTATTATGTCTGCTTTGCAGTGTCATTGAACATATTCAATGCCCCAAGGGCCATGGGAGTGGCTGCTGTTAGGGGACACAGTCCTGTGTAACGTGTTTTCGTTGCAGATGCCCATAAGTGCTTGTGACTAGATCAGCCTTGTCTCATGTCACCTGGCTCATTTTAAACTTCTGCGCTAATGTGGCGCTGCTGCTGCCGCCATAGCTGCTCTTCTTTCCCTGCCTCCCCCTCTCCCCTCCACCCCCCCTCTCCAGTTAGGGTCTTGCTGTGGAGCCCAGGCTGGCCTTGGACTCAATCCTCCTGCCTTAGTCTCCTGAGTGCTGAATTACAGGCATGCATCTGTGGTATGGCATATACTTGTGGTGAGTGCTTGCAATCTGGCATCTTTACTACAATAAGTAGATCGTAACTAGCTGTTGTAGACTGCTCACTGGCCTTTTGTAGGCTGCCTGTCAAAACACAGAAGTTAAACGAGCCATCAAGCATTCACTGTGTTGCCATGGGGATCTTTGATGTTTGTACTGAACATCATCCCAAAGGTGACCATTCAGACCCCCTTCTCCTGTGTTGTATTCTAAGCACTGGGGTTCAGCGGTCTGCTCTTTTTTAGGGCAGGATGGGCATTTTCCTGTTTTCTTGTTCCCCAGTGTTAGCCACTAAGGGTTTTGGCAGCTGGAATCTAATGCCGGCAGGTGATGTTCAACGCTGCTCAGGTCTCGAAACGATGCTGCTACTCAGGATGTTCCTAACTTGTGCTGTGTAGGAGCAGAATGAAGAAGTTCAAAAAGAATTTTTGGTCTAATCAGATATTCTTCAGCCGTGTAGACTAGATGCCGCTTACAGGTGGGTTTGTTTACTCAAGAATGAAGTAGAACTGCTCTCTTGAATGCTTACAGTAGGTGACCAAAGCCTTGGGGGAGGAAAACATCTTCTGGGTATGAGCAATGAATTTTACAGTCTATTCCTGTGTAGAAGAGTCACAGTCTTGAGGACACGAAGTGTCACAGTATTGGGATCAGCTGTACCATGGCCCAGTAAAGTGCAGTGGCAGACCAGTGCTCTGGTAGTGTGGTCTGTGTAGCATCCTTGTAGGAAGAACAGGGGAGTTTCCACTGTGGTGTTGTCCTTGTCTGGTGCAGTCAGGACAAGTTTTAACTTGTCATAGGGACTCTTGGCTGGTGTCTTGTTCTTTTGTGTGCACACTGATGACAGAATATAGGGAGGTAGATTTTTTCCCACCTTAAAAAAAATCAAATTATAAAGCAAATAATCTTTGTTGTTTTCAAGACAGGGTTTCTCTGTGTAGTCCTGCCTGTCCTGGAACTCACTCTGTAGTCCAGACTGACCTTGAACTCAGAGATCCACCTGCCTCTGCCTCCCCAGTGCTAGGATGAAAGGAGTGTACCACCCCACCATCAATAAAATTATTTTTACTATCTTTAAAATTATAGTTGCTTTTTGACATTACTTACACTGATTTTCTAAGAATCATGTGGACAAAAATTCAGTCTAAGGGCAGTCCAGGCCAGCAAGGTTTGTGGTGTCATCGGGCCACCCAAGCAATTTGTACTGCTGGGTTTTCCCAGAGTTGCCTTTTCAGGAGAGCGCTGGCTTTAAAATACTTTAGGTGTTGGGCATTCGAAGCTCTTGCTGTCCTCCTAGACTAGCATACCCTCTTCCCTCCTTCCTTCCCCCTGTCTTCCTTCTCCTCTCCCTCCTCACTGTCTCTTTTCTCCTCCGCTCCATCCTCTCCTTTCCTCCTTTGGCCTCTGCCCTCTACCCATGCCTGTCTCTGGCCCCTCATCTCCTTTGCTTTCACCATTAATACACCTGCTTCTGATTTGGTTAGATCTCAGACTAAATTACTAGTTGCTTTGAATGCATCAGCCCTCTTATTTATTGCAAAGGAGAAGTGAAAAGCAGTTACCTAATTTAGCTTTGGGTGAACAGAACGGTTTTCCCCTCCTCCCTCTTTCCCTCCCCTCCCCTCCCCTCAGCAAGTGCTAAACACTGAAATTCCACTTTGTCAAAACACTCATTTGCTGTCAAAAACCTACTTGCGGCGGGGGGGGGGGGTGTTCCCCCCACCAGTCAATATATTGCCATGGCTGGGTTGGAAGTCACTTTGTAGAACAGGTTGGCCTAGAACTTACAGATATCTGGTTGCCTCTGCCCCCTGCAGAGTGTTGGGATAAACGGCATGTACCACCATGCCTGGCATGGTGTCCTTTTATTTGGTATGTTTTTTTTCCCTTTCTCCTTTGTTTCCTTCTGTTATTTATTTATGTATGTTTTCGGCCTTAATGTTTGGGAGCTAGGTTAAGTTCAGCTAACCTTTCGGGCCACTGATAGGTAGAGGAATGAAGCCCTTCTAATAAGGGAACCATTTTGATTTTGCAGGCCACTGGCACTGCTGCTCCTGTGGGGATGGGCACACAGTTCCATTGGGATTTGATTCACCAGCACAGGCTCTTGCCTATGGCCTGCTGTCTCCTGCTTTGATGGCAGGGTTCTTTCCTGAGAACACATGGGAGAGCAGCCGAGCAGCCTGGGTACAACTAGTGCAAGGTCTGGGCAGCGTGCTCTGTCCCCTTAGGAGCCAGTCTGCCACATGGTTCTCCATATAGCCTGTGGTAAAGACTGTCTGTGTTTGCAGTACCTGCCAAGATTGCTTCCCCGTGTGGCTTTGAGCTGCCTGTTGTTGCCCTTGTTAATACTGGGCTGGGCTCAGGACTGATGGCTAATTCATCCCATCTGCTGGGCGTGCAGCTGGCTGATGTGTTGCTCTTGGAGAATTTCCTTGATGCACAGGCCTCCTTGCTCTAGATCACACGCCTTTCTTGGGGATGAATGATCCATGACTGTTCCATGTGAAGGTACTCTGGCCTCTCCAACACTAGTATGAGACAGCTCCAGAGCTCCCTCTGGGGCCACCCAGGCCTCCTTGTCCTTGCCTTGCATTCCCAAATCCACCCTACCAACTGGTCAGCCCCTTCCCTTGCCAGATGCCTCTCCTGGCAATACTCCATGTGAGAGTTTCCTGCATGAAGCACTTGTTTCTAGTCTCCTCCTTCAGCACTGCTCCTGTGTTTTCTGTTAGTACAAGAGTGAGCTCCAATGTAGTACCTGTGTCGTGGAATGATAGATTGTGCCCGTGTGGTACCAGGCACAATAAATGCAAAGTAGGTTTATTATTTATTTGGAATGTGAATTTGCTATTTATTCTAAATGTTGATTATATATGTTGTGATAATAACTTAACAGCCAAATAAAGCTTGAATTGGATCTCCTGGTCTGCTGGTGCACTATCAGTTATGTGTACTTAAGTCACTGTAAAACATGGTTTCCCCCAGGATTTGAGGCTATTCTACTAAAAGAAATCAAAGATCAAAAAAAAAAAAAAATCCTAGCATTGGGAGTACAGCTCCCTGATAGAGTACTTACCCAGCATGCTTGAGGCCCTGAGTGTGATTCCCAGCACCCAAAAAGAAGCACTCTAATGAACCCACAAAAGGGGATTGAGAAAGGGTAAAGTGTATGTTGTTTCCCCAGCTTTAAGACTGGAGATTGCTGACAGAAACTTGTGTGAGTTCTGCCTTGGGCAGGCAGTGGGGGTGAGGGGTATAGGTGTAGGGGGTACACCATCTTGAACAAGAAGGGGCAGTTCACCTGTTTGCTTGTGTTACCCAGGAAGCTGGGACATCCTGAGGAATATTAGGAAAATTTGCCCTGGGTGGTGGTGGCACATGCCTTTAGTCCCAGCACTCAGGAGACAGAGGCAGGTGGATCTCTGTTAATTCAAGGCCAGCCTGGTCTACAGAGAGTTCAGGAAAGCCAGGACTACACAGAGAAACCCTGTGTAAAAACAAACAAAAATCTGCCCACCCCCAATTTGCTACTGTGTTTAGATAAGTTTGTAAATATGCCACATGTCTTGTATGTGTGTATGTATAGATTTAGCATCTATACTAGCACTCAACTCTCATTGTGTTGAATGGACCCTCATCTGTGTCCCTGTGTGCCACAGTGTGATCACTTACATTTCTGCTATGATGATGGATATCACAGAGCCACTTGCCATTTTGGGGGTGACTTCCTGGAAATGTGGCATTGTTCCTTCATGGTGTGTTGTCCCAAAGATAGTGACAAATTTGTCCTCTGCAGAGAACTGGACAGCTTCAGTTTCCTGGACTTGAAAGATCCCTTACAAGACATTTTGTGGCTTTCAGACTTTAGACTTGACTCAGCAAACCTCTAATGGAATAGAATGAGGCAATTTGGGGTGTACAGACAAAAGAGAGAGAGAGCCTGTGGTCTGTTCAACCCAGCCTTCCACTCTGTCCCCCATAGTGACTACATCGTGCTGACACTGTTACCTTCTGATGGCTGGGAAATGATAGGTGTATAGAGGGGGTTGGGTTGAAGGGCACTTGGATGTTACAGAGATGGCTGTTAAAGCATGCTGAGTGTGAGCAATTGTCCACAGGGGAGAAAGGACCAGAATTTTACAGTATATTGAGGTTGCCATCTCAAGTCCATAGATGTGAGCCCTGGGTTTGGGGAGACAGACAGAACCATAGTTCAACCCAGTCCCAAGAGACAAAAGTGTTACCCAAGGCTGCTAACAGTCACTCTGGACCTCCACTGCTCATCTGTAAAAGTGACAGGACTGGTGGTTTTAAAGTCTTTTCTATTCCCCCTTCCACGTCTCCAAGAAAAAAATGTTTGTAAAGTTGGCTATGGTAGCTTATGCCCATGGTCCTACCATTCTGGAGGCTAAAGGAGGGGAACCTAGATTTTAAGGCCAGCCTGGACCATGCAGGTAGGAGAGGGAAGGAGGCAGAAGTGGGCGGAGGTGGTGGTGGTGGAGGTGGTGGTGGTGGTGGTGGAGGTGGTGGAGGTGGTGGAGGTGGTGGAGGGTCTAACATGGGTTCTGCTGGTGGAAGGTGGTGGTGGAGGTGGTGATGGTGGAGGTGGTTGAGGTGGTTGAGGTGGTTGAGGTGGTGGCAGTGACAGAACAGTATGCTGCGGTCAGGGTGCAGATAACACCTCATTTTCTAATGATGTCAAGGAACATTAGTGCCCAGAGCAACACTACATCTTTTAGGGGTGTGTTGCATGGATACACCACAGCTTGGTCACATCAGATGTTGAACATTTGGGGTATTCTGCTTTGGGGCTGTTATGAACAATGCTGCCATCAGTACATGTGACTACAGGGTGGACATGTTTTTCATCTCTCTTGGGTATACACCTTTGAGAGGTAGCTTTGGTTCTTGGTAACCCTGTGAGATTGTCTGAGGAACTATGAGATTCCCTACCACAGTACCTCTACTTTACAAAGCAGGAGAGGTCTCCACACCCTCATGGATGCTTGTCTTCTGATGGATCATTTGGTCATTGCTCTCCTAGTAAGTGTGTTGATGGATTTTCTTTGTTCCACCAGGTCCTGCTGCCCTTCAGCCCCAAATGAACACACAGAGACACTACATTAATTATAAACTGTTGAACCATGGCTTGGGCTTCTTATTGGCTAGCTCTGTCTCAATTATTAACCCATCTCTATTAATCTATGTATTTCATGTGGTCTTAGCTTTCCAGAGAACACCTGGTACGTCCTCTCTTCACAGGCTCTACATGACAACTCCGTCTGCCTACGTTTCCTAGACTTCTTCTCATCTCCTAGCCCTGCCTATACTTCCTGCCTGGCCAATCATTCAATCAGTGTTTTATTCATCATCTAATAAGAGAAACACATATACAGAAGGACATCTCCCATCATAAATGCAAGGAAACAAAACTAAAGAATTCATGAGACAAATGTTGGCCAATCGAAAGGGCTCTAATTAGCCATAATAAGTGTAGTTTGTTTTCATAGCTTTACCCCTCCTAGGCACACAGTGACTTTTTTTTAATTCCATAACATTTATTGAGAACATCCCTGTGGCAGGTACTTCTGGGTACTGGGATACAAAGTACATGAGGTGAAGCCATGCCTTAGGCACTTACAGTAATAGGAAAATACCATAGGATCACAGTTCCTTCAAGAGAAGGCACAACAGAGCAAGGCCATCTGGAATGTGCCAAGAGCAATAGAGGTCAGAGGAGATAGAGGTGCCCCTGGATGGTCTTGGTAACATGACACCTTACCCATGGAAATGACCCCATATTAACCAGAGAGGTGAGGTATGGTTTCTGAGTGTATCATAGTTTAAAACAATAAATGATCCAAGAGATAGCTGGTGTTGAGAATTCACAGTAGAACCATGATGGCTCAGGGGTTCATGTGGCACTGGCTGTTGGCTGGCAGCTCATATCAGGACCTCTGTGCCCCCAGAGGGTCGCTGCTCTCCTCCTCCTGTTCTTCAGAGTCCTGGAAGACAGAGGGCTGTGACACTGGGGTGGGGATGTTCCTTCTGCCGCTATCCCTCCTAGGAGGAACTCTGATCTGCTCTGGGGCCTAAAGCATGCCTTGCCTCAGGTGTACACATCACAGGAGTCTTCAGGTGTACACATCACTGCTGCCTCGGTGGGGGGAGGGTGGGGAGGGTACTGCTCAGGGCCACTTATGTTGGGGCTGCACATGCTTTGCTACTTGAAGCTGCCTGTGAGGTCCTCAATGATGGTGGTTCCCACCTCCAACAGCACTATAGGAATATTTACTTCTTTAGGAAGGTGTGAGGGTTAGCTACTACTTTTAGCCAGTGGTGATTGAAATCATAAAATTTTCATATGGAAAATACTAAAGCGCCCCACTCTCTGCCAGAGAGCCCTGTTAAGCCTCCTGCTATCATCATCTGAGTGGCTGATGTGACAAGCTGTTACGATGAATCTTTCCGCCACCCACTTGAGTTCTGCCCACCACGTAGATGGCCAAAATAATACACAGAGACTTATATTAGGTACAAATGCTGCTTGGCCAATTCTCATCTGTTAGCTCAGCCTTAATTATCACAAATCTATGTATTTTATAAGACTTATCGGATGCCTTCTGCTGGCGTCCTCATCCCCGGGATCACATGGTGTCTCAGAGCAGAGCAGGAGGAAGAGAGAAGGGGCCCACTTCCTTCTTGCCCTTGTTTATATATGAGTCTCCCTGCTATGTCACTTCCTGGCTGGATCACCACTTCTTTACTACATCTCCCAGAATCCTCCTTGACTCCTATTCCTGCCTAACTTGCTGCCACATTGGCCAAACACATGCACAGAAGCACTTCCCCCATCAAGAGGCAGCATGATACAGGTTAGCAAAGGTCTCTCAAGGGTGTTTGGGATGTTGATGCCCTGGACTCAAGGGTCCTATTATTGGAACTTTCTGGTCACTTGTTCTCACTGAATCTAGCTGAACTCTGCTTCTGGAATACTCTCCCTTTGCTCCAGGGGACTCTCATACATGAAGCTGACACAGTACCCTTGGAGAAGACAAAATCTGCAAAGGTGTGGAGTGCACGGAACAGTTTAATACCCCATCCTCCACACTTTTTAAATGATGGCAGCTTCAACAGAATGACCCCAGCAGAAACAAACCTGCACTAGTGAATAAAGACAATCCAGCAGAGCCCATTGTTGAAACCTGGACACAGTATTTTTATGTGGGTTAAAAAATAAAATTTGTGACATGGTTATTTTTCACATCTACTACCATACACACTACTAGCCAAGGATACCAACTCACTATTTATACCTATCACAATAAATAATCTTAAACGGTTTTTGCAAGAAAACCTTGTAGTGTTTCAGTGACAACCTGTAAAAATTCAACTATACAGCCAGGTGTAGAGGCAGAAGAGGGTAAACCTCTAAGAGTTCTGGATGGTCTGTTCCACATAGTGAGTTCCAGACCAGCCAAGGCTACATGGCGAGACCGTCAGTGAGTAAATAAATACTATGTGTTGTAATTTGTGGGAGAAATATGCATTCTAAGCACTAATCTGACAGCAACAATTTGGCTTTGGCTAATACTACACAGGGTTGGTAACCCAGAGAAGCCAAGATTCAAATGTTCCCTTGGCCCAAAGATCACGGTTAGCTCAGGTGGTGGGCCTGTCAGGTGGGGGTGGTTATATACACTGGTTAAGTTCTTCACGGCTATGGGAGGGGACATGCCTTCCCCTAGCTTATGCGTCCAGAACTGATGAAAAACGGTAGGCAGGTTACCTTTTACATCTCATGTGAATGGGGTGCCCTGACATCTGAGCTCAAGCTCCACTCAATAAATAAATGGTTCCTTCTGGGGAGACTTGATCAGAATGTTACCCATTAAAGACCTCCTGAAGCAAAAGCAGCTCCCTA